AAAAAAAAAAAGGCCTAAACACATTGAAATCCTCATACACTTTCCATTATCAGTCCAGGGAGACCAGTACCCCAAAAATGTGATTATTTTCTGTCTCCCTCACTTTGGATTGACCAGAAGAAGGAAAAGATGAGACTCCGATAAAAGGGGAGTTTCAATATCTTTTACCACCATAGATTCAAAACTTGGAGACTTAATGACCACAGAAACCATTTTAAAAGCATATTGACATTTGTCCCTCCTTTTTTGAGAGGAGGAGGTTGCAAGAAAATCAAATGAAATAAGTGAAACTTGGTTATTTGTATACTGAAGTGGTTCCAAGTTTGAAACTGGGATGATTCTAAGTACAGGCTTCCCCAGAAACTAGTGACCCGTCTGTTTGGCTTCAGAGCACCAGCTACTTACTATCTGTCCCTGGCTCTTGGGTCTACTCTGATTAGGGTTCCTAGCTCCACCTCCAGGCCCACTCCCTTTTATCTGGGCACAGGGGCTATCTTCTTCCTCAGTACTTGGTACAGTCTTTGCCAATGCCAAATAAATAAGAAATAGTTAAGAGTAATAAGTTCTTTTGCCTTACTTGCAATAGCATTAAAACCTCTATTTTCCTTCCCATTTCATAAACTCTGTTCTCTTCCTCTTTGAATTCCCAGTATCGTCTATTGGGATTTTTAATGGCTAGTATGTTCCTAAAGTCAACTCTTACACAAGTGATGTTATAATATTCACTTTATATTTTTAAATGGTTCAGTGCTCAATATTAGACAATTTTGTTTTTATAAATCTGCTAGTTTTTTGTATAATGTGACATCTTACTAATGGGACTGACTGCTATAAGTGATATGTACTGATAACCTATTATATTTTCAAGATGTAAAGTTGAGTAATGCATGCTTTAAGCATTTAAAAAATAAGAATGCCTTCCAGTAATGTCTTTTTTTTTCCTTTTAGCCCTGACTAGGAATCGAACTGTGATCTCCTGGATCATAGCTCGATGCTCAACTGCTGAGCCACACCGGCCATGCAGTAATGTCTTTTTTAAAACATTTCCGTTAAGCTAGTTATTTCCAATTATCTGTTTTACAATATCCCAATATGTCTTCAGTTTTCAAGATGTATGTGCAATTCCCAAAACAAAATCCATATTAATTCATTATACGAAATATACATATCGTACTCTTAGAAATTTTAGAATCACAAATTCATTCAACAAACATTTCCTGAGCACTTATATACCAGGCACTGTGCTAAGGAATGTGGAGAAAAGATGGAAACATTGCCTTACCCTGAAGAACTCCATCTAGCAGGAAAAACAGATACACACAATAGTTAGGATATGCGGTAGCAAGTGTTAAAAATAAGTGTAGAGACATGAAAGGGACTTTAAAACAAGCTTTGGAATTGCATTATGGTTAAAAAATAGTATGAATGGGGGAGTGACAAGAGATAAGCTGGAGGCGGATGGAGATAAATCTTGGAAGCCAAGTTTGGGGGTTTAGACTCGATTCTGGATGCCAGTGTTTCTCAATATGTGCTGCTGGAACAGCAGCAGCAGTTTCACCCTATAACTTGTTAGAAAGGCAGATTCTTGGGTCCCACCCTAGACCTACTGAGTCAGGAATTCTGGGGTTTGTACCCCCCAGATGATTCTGATGCATACTATACTTTGAGAACCACTGCTGCAGGTAATAGGAAACCTCCATAGGATTTTAAGCAGGGAACTGACTGGATAAGATCTTAAGTAGGAAGCTGGTTGCCACTGACCAGTCAAGCACAGCACCTGACTCCAGAGTAGTCACAGTGAGAAAAAAAAAAATCTGTTGAATGACTGACATGGAGAGATGATGAGGGCCTAGACTAAGGCAGTAGGAATAGAGAGGAAACAGATTTTAGAGATGTTTTGCAGGTGGCCCAAGTTCTATCAGGGAACTACGAGAGATCCATACAAAGGTGTCACTGAAATGGTTTTTATATAAAAACATGCTGTACTCTTGGAGGCAGGATTTAGCTGAGGCAATCTTCAACTTCCTGATGGAGAGGAGAATAAGAGGTACAGGTCAACCTATTAAGTAATTTATATTTCTGTTAGGACTCTGGATACCTCTTGTTACTTACAGCATGTTCTTTTAGTTGATACCAATATCTTGGTTTATTTGGCAATCTTATTTTGTCCAAGATCAATTCCTAATAAAAAAAACAAAACAAAAAAAACTGCACTACTTTATGGAATTGGAGAACTATAAAAAACCCTGGAGATTAAAACAAAACTTTCATATTACTGACAAGGAAATGGAGGGCCTCAAAGAGTAAATCACTTAATCTGTTTATTATAGGACAAGATTCTCCAGAATGCTACCCTGTGGCAAATAAGATTAAGAGCAAAACTCATAATCTGCTCCTTTAAGTTTTAGACAAGATTTTAAATTCCTCTATTTTCCATCTTAAACCAGAAAAAGAATAGCAAATTGCTTATTTTATTGGGCTATTAAGAGGATGGGGAAACTTTTCTTGTAGTTACTTGCTTTATGTTTTCAGGAATTGTAGTTAAATGTAAAAGCTCCATAAGAAAAAAAAATAAAAAATATTTGGGGAGAAAATGTGCATGAACAATTTAAGGGGAGAAACATGCATTAGTTTATAAGCTATTTATTCTATTTTCTACCTTTACCTCTAAAGGGGTAACTTTATACTGAATACCATGCATTATATTTCATTATATATTACATTTTCAAATATTTTGGTATTTGAGTAAACCTCTTATTTTGAGAGTTCTAGAAATGCTTCAGAAACTAATTTAAACTCACATTCTGTTTGGGTATGTAGATGTGAACAACTTCAAAGGCACATTTGGCTCCGTTTTCCAAACTTCCAACTGCTTTATACTAAATATACCATAATCTAAAAGTTGGTGTCCACTCCCTATACAATATCTTGTGTCAGAGAGATTTCCCAGCACTTACAGGAAACAGACAAGATTTTCATCATCAAGAATATATTAGGCCTGGCCGGTTTGACTCAGTGGTTAGAGCCTCAGCCCGAGAACTTAAGGGCCCCGGGTTCGATTTCTACCAAGGGCACGTACATCGGTTGCATTTGTGGGCTCGGCACCATCACTCAGGGCACATGCGGGAGGCAGCCAATGGATGTGTCTCTCTTACCTCGATGTTTCTCTCTCTTTCTCTTTCCCTTCCTCTCTCTGAAAAGCAATGGGGAAAATATCCTTGGGTGAGGATTTTTTAAAAAAGGATATATTAAACCCTAGGTGTGCCCTGCCTGAAAAAGTAGGCTTTCCCCTGTCTGGAATTCACATTAAGAATGTAATGTATTCCTAAAGAACAGGACTGCTTTTTAGGCAAGATCCAAAGGACCCAATTTTTCAGGTTTGCATCGATCTCATTTCCTTTCCAAGGTCAAAAATCTGGGACTGTTTTCATCTAATATTTGTCCTCTCGCTCCCCGACATGAGAGGTCTCTTTGAGTCTACTGGTGCAGAAATGCTACTACAGTCAGTAGAGGACAGATGTCAGTTACTTTATCCAGAAGGGGAAACCGCAGAGCATTGAATTAAGGGCGGGAGGGCTGGTTAGAGAGTATGAAACGTTCTATCCTAGGACTTTAGCTCCACCTGATTGGACCGGACCCAGCCTTTCCAGCCCCCATCCCCACACAGGCCGGCTCCGTGTGAAACAGGTCATGTGAGCCTGTTTACAGCCGAGCAGCTGGTGCAACCATCAGGATCCGTGCGGAGGTCCTGGAAGGGGGAAGCATACAGGCCACATATTCCCTACACCCCCACCCTTATTCCGAGAACGCGTTCGCTCTCCCTCCCTGCCTCTCCACCCCACTTTCATCTCCCTCCAGCCACCCCGGGACGCCTCGCTCCAGCCCCTCCGATTTCCTTCCAGTTGCTCAATAAGGCGACCAGTAGGGCTGGAGAAAAGAGGAAAGGCAAGGACGGTGTCACCCCGAACAGGGAGTCAACTTCCCTCCCCCAGCCCTCAAGACATCGGTCAAAGAGTACTCCCCGGAATCGCATCCCCAGGGTAACCGAACTCTGTTTGGCAGGCACAGCGAGGATCCTGAGCCTGCTGCCTCCGCCGGTGCACGAGAGGCACACACACGGGCCTGCCAGTACGCTGGGATCCTGGTACTGCAGAGCAACTGACAGAGATGGAGCAGAAAGAACCCCATCCGATTCCTTCTCTCCACCTCCCACCCGCATCCAGGCGTCACGGAGCCCTGCAGTCAGTCACTGAGCCAAGCTCCAGGTTTGGGGACTGCTCGTTCTTTCCACTGGGTCTCTCGGCAACGTAACTTCCACGTTTTCCCGAAGTCGGAGGAAGTGAGTGACCGGACGGTGGGGGACTCTCACCTCGGCAACACCCGCTCCTAGGAAAGCAGCCGCGACTGCTCCTCTGGTCCTTTGTCAGCGTCTCTAGGCTGCACTGCCTGCTGGGATACCGGAGGACTCAAATGCCACCTCTCTCCGCCCTCTAGGTTGAGAGCTGCTAAGGGTGGGTGGGAAAAGGAAGAAGAGGTGGAGCCAGGGGCGGGGCCGGAGCCGAGGGAGGGGCTTCCTTACAG